CGCGTCGCCTCCCGCGGTCTACGGGAGCTCCCGATCCCTAATCCGCGCGGGTCCCGTCGATTTGGGGTTTCAATCGTGTGATTTGGTGGATTCCTCGGGGCTCCTCGCCTGGGGTTTTGGGCGAATTCTTCTTCGGTAGACCACAGAAGGGGGTTAATTTCCCATTACTATTTTACGAATTTCCATGTTGGTTCTGCTCTGCTGCCATGTACCCCCTTCGTCCCAAAATAAGTGTCTTGACCTTAGTACAACTTATTTTGGGACGGAGGGAGTAATTTGGTTAGGATCATGAATTGCGGTAGCGATTTCTTAGCAGGATAGGTTGTCAATGGAACGAGTAGCTAGAAAGGCGATTTCTGCTTATGTTTGCTTCATTCTAGGAAACAAAAATGCTTATTTTTGCTTGAACGACTTGCAGGGGGTGACATGGATACTTCCTGAGCGCTTCGCTAACTCCGAGATTGCCCCGGAAGCAGGTACTGCTTCAATAGGAGTAACATTTAGTCCCACTGCACGTTTTTTTTTGTCTGAATCTTCTGTCATCGGTTGATATGTTTACTGTCTCTTGGTGTTTGTCCTTCGAGAAGTACCTAGTTGAAGTCTCATGGTGTTATATTTGCAAATGCGAGTGTTGAAATGTCTACTTTGTGTTAATCTTAATCAGATAAAAAGAATAGGGTGTGCAGATAACATTTAACTGAGTTAGGTCTGACACATACAGTTTGGACTGGTAGAAAGTAGAGTACACCATAATAATTGTGATCAAAGAGGTATAAGGTTGTATAGGTACTGGCATGGTAGGCTCAATTGTGAAATTTTGGATGCAAGAGGTACTGGCATGGTAGGCTCAATTGTGAAATTTTGGATGCAAGATTTTTGACATGTGGTGCCCCTTTGTTCTTGTTGCATTAACTACACATGCCGAGTTAATGTATGGGAGATGAAACCATGAGCATTTTGTAGTTCAGGACAAGAATGTTCCCATTATTGTTTGGGGGGTCGAAATAATCTGTCTGTTGCACTTTGTACACTTTCTAGTTGAAAACTGTTAAATCCAGATACTAGACTAGTTTTTTGAGGTATTGCATTAAATATTATTCACTACTGTTCGCTCCTAAATTTTTTGTACGACTAAATGCAACTGCCTTAGCTGGCATAGCACCAAGTGATTAGGCCCAACGTAGAATTTGCCTTACCTTTTCTGTCATCACTTGGCATGTCACTGCTGGCTAAAAAACTTAACTATTGCGCCATACTTGATAGGATATTACTAGAACTTACCAATATATATCGAAGTTTGTTGAATTTGGAATACACCCTATTTTTTGTTGACAACATGAGATGACTGCCCTTGGCCTATAAATTCCTTTCATTCAACTTCCTAACTCTGTGTTTGGCATTTGGTGGATTATGATAATCCTGTTTGCCGCACCAGCCTTTTCCTATTTTAGTTTTTGCTTGACCCGTGTTTGCCTACTTTTGTGGAAAATTTTCTACAGCAGACTTACCTACCAATTTTGTTATTCATATTATTTAGTGAACAACCACAAACACCCTATACATGTTCACTAAATAATATAAGCACAGCACAGGTCAACAACCGCAAACTAAACCTAAGAAGATCTCATTATTTGTCGTCCATATTTATAGTGGACATGTATTTGCATCTGTGTATAATATATATGATGCCGAAGCACATTTGCTTGCTATTACTGAGTCCGGGATACTACCTAGCAATTTTGTTTCTAATCTGATGAAAAAAGGAAATATAGACCTTAGTTCATTAAGTTGCTAATTTTTTTCTAACGAAACTTACCCTGGGAAGCAAATACTTTTGTTCTTTATAAACATCTACTCCCTCCGTCCCACAATATAAGAACGTTTTTAACACTACACTAGTGTCAAAAACGTTCTTATATTTTGGGACGGAGGGAGTATATACTAAGTTAGTTATGTAAGATGACTTCCATGAGACCGTTATGTATTTTTGTTGTCAAGAAGCTGTTTTGTGTGTAAGAACTTGATTATTTGACATTAAGGCGGCATTGCTTTTTTCTGAACAGTATATGCACTTCTGGGCATTGTAAGTTCTGTCAACCAGCATATAATTGAGACACCAACTGATGGTCACTCACTGGCCTCCAAGGAACAATCTATCCCATGGGCTCTTGTTGTATCTATACTCAAGGATGTCGAAGCAGTTGTTGAAGTTGCCGCCCAGCACTTTGTTGGAGATGATCGCAAATGGGGCTTCCTTGCTGTTACAGAAGCAGTGAAGTAAGATGATCGATTATGCATTGTTTTTCCTCGCTTGCATATCTGATATTGCCATGCATTTCTGGCTTTGTCTGGATGGCTGATAATTGTTGTGCAACATTCCAGAGCATGTGTCAGGTTAGCCGCTTTCAGGGAGAATGGCTACAGGATGCTCCTACAAGGAGGGGAGGTGGAAAACGAAGAGGAGGATGTTCTTGAAGACAATCAGGGAGTCAAGACTAATGGAGTGCCAGTAATCTATCCGGTCAATGGACATTCCCAAAATGGCCATTGGATCATGTCTGATGGTCCGGATGGAAAACCTGGAATTATATCTAAGACTCTGGAGGGAAGAGCAGTAGCTGCTTTAAACAGGTTTGGTCAGAATGCAAAGATGTTGTCAGATCCCACGTGGATGAGCAGGCTCCAACCTTCTCCTGTTCCTCCTGGTAACTTGTTTTTACTAAAACATTATTATGGTTCTCCATTGAGACATTTACCTATTATTTTTCTCAAGTGTTGTTAGTTTACTTAATGTCCTTGTGCTCAGCAGTGATGGAGATTGAGAAGCCAACTCTCGCAACCATTTGGTCTTCTAAAGGGATTTCTGGGCGCTTATTCATGTTAGGGGAGGCCGTCCACATATTCAGACCACTTGTATACGTACTCTTGATTAGAAAGTTTGGCATCAAATCTTGGACCCCGTGGTTGGTCTCACTAGCTGTGGAGCTCGCAAGCCTTGGCATTCATTCGCATGCAACAGATCTGAATCATAGAGCTGGGAAAGTTCATCAGCTCTCGTCTGCTGAGAGGGATGAGGTGCGATGATTTCAGTTCTTTATTGTGTTATAGTTTGTTGGTTATGTTCTCTGGGTTGCTGACTTGGCTATTCTTCCGTGGTTCAATTCCATCAGTTGAAAAGGCGAAAAATGATGTGGGCACTTTATGTCATGAGAGATCCATTCTTTGCCAGCTACACCAGGTAATGAGCATTACACACTAACACGGTACTGTCTCAGCTCTTGATTTTACCCTTCCTATATGCCCTTGCTTACCCTTGAGTCCCAACAGGCGTCATCTTGAGAAGGCTGAGAAAGCACTTAGTCCGGTGCCGCTTATCGGTTTCATCACAGGTGTGTGAACTTTCCCCGTATCTACTATGCATCTCGTTCCCACAAAAACTTGCAGAGGAAGCATTTTGCGATATTCTTGACACGCTCGATTTATTGCAGGTAAACTCGTGGAACTATTGGAGGGGGCTCAGTCGCGGTATACATATACATCAGGGTCGTAGAGGAGGATTGGGATAGATTTACCTGCTTCTGCTGGAGAGCTTCCTTGCTGATCTGCCATACTGGACTTTTGCTGGTTCCTGGATTTTGCTTTCAGTAGATGAGGATTTGAGCGAAACCCTGTCTTTGCTTTGCCATTTCGTAGCCAGATCTGGCATCGCTGTCTCGAGACCTTGGCTGATACGTTGCAGCCACATAACCTCACCCCTGGTGGCAGCTGGGAATGTAATTATACAGTACATTGGTCTAATGTCATGAATAGGCACGCAGCAATACCGTCGTATTTACCAGAAATGAAAATCATAATAAGTTTGTTCCTTAAACTGTGAAGTTTCCGATTGCGACGTGATCTGGCATTTCTCTATCTATGCTATGCTACTATATTGTCAGTCTTTGATCATTGATTTTTATCCCCTCTAGAATACTCATATATTGAGAGAAGTAAAAGGGAAAGACCCCTCGTTTGCTCATTGATCACTACTGGAGATAACTGAATCTTCCTTCTGTTGGTGATGCATCTTGATAATGTGCTGTGTATCTCAACTTGATTTGTGTTCGGATTTAGCATGGATCATCCTTTGGCTGGAGATGTCCATGAAGCATTTCAGAGTCAAGCAACATGAATCATTAAATCTCTCATATTGTCATTGTAACACTTGTCTCAAAATGTTGAATCAGATAAGCAAATATGTACAGACATAATGACAAGATGAAAATGCAGTACTATACTTGCAACATGCATCTATCTCATTCTATTCTATGCACTGTTAATGTACAACATGATCAAGCTTGACAAGCATGAGCAAGATAGTGTTACAAGCGTGCAATAGTTCTGTTCAGGCTCAGCTCAACCCCACCCGCAGAACGAGCATTTTTCGCGTTATTGCGAGATTCACGAACATCAGCTTGTGAGCTTATGTAGGATAGGGACTGCAACCACGATACGAGCACAGGCTTCCGTACAACATCATCGGATTCCGCAACATGGGCGTGCATGTCATCGAGGAGCACATCCTGGCCTTCCTTTGGCAACGAGGTGACAAATTCCGCCAGCTCCTTGAGCAGATAAGAGAATGACTGCAGAAACAGGAGAAAAGAGTGTTGAGGGAATAAAATCTGCAGAGTCTCTACAGGTAGCAGTGCTGCATGCGTAGTAGGAAAATCATGGAATAATGTGATTTGGGCTATAAAACATCAATCTCCAATGGTCCAAGACTCATCTTTATAGCAATCAAGTCAGTGCATGAAAATACTCGACAGGGTTTCAAAGCTAATGATGATTGCAATGTCTCTGCTATTGGGAAAAAAGTTCCTTGTGTCCTCGCGGATTGATCAGCCATATTCTGAATGTCATAAAGGAGATAAGCACCACCAACCCGTATTTCAGAGGAGTTACTGCTCTACACACCATCAGAAAGTAATACCATTGTGATCTTAGCTTACCTGAATATCGGCAAGGAAGATGAGCCGCAGCAACAAGTCCAATATTTTCTTACAGGGCTCTGTGCTTTCTTCCCATGACCTCCATAATGATCTGTCCTGTATCATTGCAGTACTGCAAAGATCTTTAGCTTTCACAACAAGGCTATGGATACAAAAAAGAATGGCAGGGCTCTTTGCAGGAAGGTGCCGAACAAGTGCAGCAACTCCTGACGCTAATCCATCAAATGGAGTTACCCCAGGATAAGCCTATTATATGAGATAAGTAGAGAAATTAGTCAGTCGCCTAGTTAGGAACAAAATATATATGAAAAGGGTTTTGAATGAACTACCTCCAAAGATCTCCTAATATAATCAAAGGCAAGTTGCTCTTTCAAAGCCACTCGATCATCCTGATCAGTATCATTGCCAGATGACAGGAATGATACCATCACCGAGTGTACTGCACGTGTTATTTTTTCATTCGAGTGTTGTATGTATCTAACAAATTGCATTAAGGATGGCAATTTTGTATATCAAAATCAAGATAATCCAATGAGAAAAACAAAGAGAGAATTCCTTATTTGACACTAGATAAAAATGTACCTCCCTATTTGGCCCTGAAAAAAATATCCCTATTTGACGCTCGGACTACCCCCCCTCTCTCAATCCTAACCCCTAGCCTGTATGGCGGCAGCGGCAGATGTCTATTTATTTTTTCCTAATGTGATACTACCGTCAATTATTATGGTTACTAAAGATATTAAGGGCCCGTTTGGGACTGCTCCGCTCTAAAAAACAAGCCAAACGGGGTAACTCCATGATGTCCTGCTCTGAAAAAAACTAGAATCTGGGGATCAACTCCCTATTTTTTGTGAAGCTCATTAGGGGGTGCTTCAAAAACTCTAATTCAAAAGGTCCTCGTGGAGTTGGGGAAAATTAACCACCACTGTCACCAGTAAGTGGATACGCCTTTGTTTTATTTCCCCACGTCACCCAGCCAAATAGACCTTACCCACAAAATTTTCTCATTCTTGAAGCTGGAAGCCAAACATGATAAACTGCTCTTTGGTGAAGCTGCCACTCCTAGGTGAATTTGCTCCAAAGTGGATTTGTGGAGTGGAGCAGTCCCAAAGAGGCCCTTAAGTGAGAATTGAAAAGAAAGTTTTACCCCAGGAAGAAATTTAGACCGAATGCCAAATAAGGATGATTTTTTTCAGGGCCAAATAGGGAAGCACATTTTTATGATTTTATCTAGTGTTAAATAAGGAATTCTATCAAAAATAAATAGTAAGACAAATAGTAGTGGTGTCTATAAAGGATACAAAAATATGACCGGAGATAATTTATCCCGAATTAGATGAGTTGGAATGAGGTTAATACAAGTAGGCATAACCCGCAGATAAAACAATATGCGTGACGTCTGGACCTCATCCGTGTAACAGATATATCTTGTTCCATCCAAGGTTAGTAAATCTACAATATACCAAAGTTCCATTTTAATCAACAGTTGCAAGCACATCCAAGCAAACACATGAGAAGTTTTAATCATAATGGCACAAGGAGATTAGGAGAGTGGCATTAAAATAACCTGGTTTGGTTGTCAATTCAGCACATGAAGGCATTGACTCAACGAATAAAGCACTGGCTGCCGCATTATCCTGATTGACAACAACAGCACGCCGGATTGCTTCAGTGTACTCAGGAAGACGCAAACGTCTCAGATGTTCCACACAAGAGAATTCCACCAAGATCCTAACAGCAACCTCTGGCTGGAACCCCCCTGAGGAGTTTGCATCCAACCTGTGTTTTGCAACCTCTGCCGCAAAGCTTACAATCATAAAAAATGCCGCCTCAGCGATCTTATCAATCTCAGCAAGCAAACCATTCCGTTTCGCCTGGTGCAGCAACACTGCTGCACGAAGATGATGATACAACTCTTGCGCATATTCACATACACGAGTTTCCACATAATCTTTAGTCTTCTCATCAGCAAATGAATACTGATTGCACAGAACCCAAGTCACTGGCCCTGCTTCTTTGAAAAGGACACTATCCTGGTGCTGCATGACCTGATTCTTTGCAAGCTCAGCTGAATTTCCATCTGGACTCTTAACTGAGATCCTAAGCAGGCGCGGAAGAGGAAGGAGCTCCTCCAGCAGTGCCATAAGAACACACCGTAACACTGAATCATTAGATGCTACCGGCCCACACTGTGTCAAACCTAATGCAACACACTGAAGAAGGACACGGCGCTGATCATCGTCAGGCCTCCCTTCTACAGCTGCCCTCCGAGCTGCAAAACGAATGGTCCGTTCAGGAGCCTCCTTCAACCTTGGAGCAAAGTCCAACCGATGTCTCACCGAAGCAACCCTCAATGCCCGTAGTCCACCGCAAGCCGCCATCACCGCCGGAAACAGCACATAACCCTCACTCTCACACTTCTCCGGCGAAATTACCTCGAACAGAACCTGAACCTTGCGCATCCTCCTCGACTCGACGAACCCCGACACCAGCCAATCCACCAGCTTAAGCACCCTGACAGCAACACCTACATCCCCGATCCTGCCGCAAATCCTAACCAGGGACACAAGGATCCTCCCAAAGTGCAGCTCATCTGCACATGCCAGGGCATGGCAAATCCCAGCAAGCGCAAGGTGGTCAATACCATCGCTGGTCTCACTGGCCTGCTCCATATTCTCTAGAATGCGACTCACAGCCACAACGGGGTCGTCGCCGCCGTGGTCACTCCCGAGATTCCCCGTGCTGGGGCTCCCTGAGCTGCCATTGCTGGTGGAATTCTTGGAGGTCTTGGCGGTGGCGAGCGCGCCCAGGAGGAGGAGCCGAGGGGCGAGGGGGAGGGAGGCGAAGGGGAGCGAATAGTTGGGGAGGAGACGCGGGCAGGTGGCGAGCAGCGGGGAGACGAGGCGGGGGTGGAGCGGGAGAAGCGGCAGGAGCAGCTCGAGGTGCGCGGAGCTGAGGCGGAGCGAGCGGCGGTGCAGGTGGAGGGTCTCGAGGGCGGCGAGGGCGGCCGCAGGGGAGGGAGCGGCGCTGCGGAGGTGCGACCACGCGGAGAGGATGGCGGCGGGGGTGGGAGGCGGGGGCGCCGGGGCGGGAGGCGCGAAGGTGCCGGACTCGAGGAGGTCGGCGAGGGGCGTGCCGGCGGGGGCCGGCGGCGGGAGACTGGCCGGCGGCGACATGGCCGGGGTTCGGATTGGAATCGGAACTGACGCGACGATGACGACGCCGCCGCCCCTCAGACTTGAGAGGACTCCAGAGGAAGGCAACGGAGCGGCTAGCGCCTAGCAGACGGGCGTATTCTGACCAAACAAATGCGCCCGCTTGCATTTCATATCTTCGTGTATAAATTTCGGCCAAATTTTGAACTCCATATCTGGATAATTTTTATTTCGAAATTTTCATATTTGGATTAGAAAATAAAACTTAGCGGTGGCAGATTTTATTGATCATGTTTGGTGCCACAGCTCACAAAACTTGGCTATCTTTAGGTTGCATGGATTTTATTGGATTTGGCACATTCGGGTTATTGGATTTGAAATTACAAAAAAATAAGGACGTCGATAACTGCCACACGTGTGGGCGTTAAGCAATCTGCCCACACGTTCTGTGTGGTGCCTAAGAGGACCAGCCCATACGTTTGTGTGTGTGGGCAAAAGAATTAGCGCCTACACGCCTCTTTTTTTCCTCCCGGTCCCTCTTACACGCGTGCGTGTGGGCGAAATAGATAACGCCCACACGCCCGGTACGTTAGGCCTCGTACCTCATGCTCCCGCACGCCCCACATGACACTTTACCGCGCGCCTCGCAGTTGCCATGGGCCGGACCCTCGTCCATGTTCGTTTAAGTGCAGTTGTCATGTCGCTGAACTACGATTGCCATGTCGGACAACTACAGTTGCCATGTTTGCTCAACTGCAGTTGCCATCTCAGGTCAAAGTTCCAGATTGCCATTTTTTGGACAACTACAGCTGTTGCCATGTGTGGCCTGGTCTACTGCAGTTGCCATGATTTCAAAATTTTAGAAGTTGCCACCTACTAACACTAGGCAGTTGCCATGTAGCGCTACAAAAAAAGGCATGGCAAAAAACATGTTCGGGTAAAAGAGAGAGTTGTCATGTGCTCACAAGCACGCTAGGGCAGTTGCCATTTAAAAAGAAAAGAGTTGCCATCTGCTTACGTGCACGCTAGGGCAGTTTGCCATGTACCATGCAAAACATATGGCAACTGACATGTTCGGGTAAAAAAAAAGAGTTGCCATCTGCTTGCAATCATACTAGGGCAGTTGCCATGTACACTGCAAAACGCATGGCAACTGGCAGCTTGGGTGTGGGAGAGGAGGCGGGTGTGTGGGCGAGATGGCAAACGCCCACACACCAGCCCTTGCGCGTGACTGAAAAACTGGTGTATGGGCGAACTGCTAAACGCCCACACACCGGCCCCTCACGAGTTGTTCTATGTGTTGGCGACATTTCTCACCACACACGCGAGTTGTCCTATGTGGCATACAAAATCAGCTAATTCGTGCCAAGATTCATGCAAAAATTACTGGACGGTGATGGAGACGTGTGGACGAGTTGGCTAACGCCCACACGTGTAGACGTTTACATTTTCGAAAAATAATCCAAAATCCCTGACAGGAAAAAGAATCTATATGATTGGTGATTGATGTAAAAACCCTGGTTGCATGGGTCAATGACTAGGGCGGGGCCCCGCCCCGATCCGTGTTCCTCGTAATGTGGTGCCTATCCAACAATATTCCCCCGTGCCTGCCTTCTTTTCGCTCGTAAAAGTCCAAAAACTAATTTAAAACACCTGGTCCTTCATCCCCTTTCATTACTGGAGATCAAGGAAATAGAAACTGGCCGTTCAACACCTTTCCCTCCCTGCAAATATCGAATTGGGCACCTAAGAGAATCCAAAAACTTCAAAAGTGTAAGTCTCGTAAGTCACTATAGGTGCATTAATCTCCGTAATTAATCTCGCTTAAAAGAAGTGTAAATCATGTAAGCCACTATAGGTGCATTAAGATAACTTTGGCCGGAAGTTACAAATTTGTCCAAACTTCCAAATGGCTTCGGTGCAATTTTCTCTTTTATAGTTAGTCAACCATGGCCAACACATTTTATGTCTGGTATCTTTAAATTGGAGTTATTTGTTGATGGTGGTGAGTTCAGTCCCCACTCCACCCCAATATTCCTCGCCCATCTAGAACCCACCAGACTCCTTCAATTTGAACAGAAAAAAATAATCATATTCTTGCCATGGTGCTCCCATGCAGTTACATTGATTATCTTATTGCAGTGTTGGACGTGTATTGGTTGTTACAGTCGAATATTAATGAATCATTTTTGTGGTTCCATAGCAACACAGGGATGTTATGCTAGTTATAACAAAACGACTGCTCATGCAATTTTTCCTGTATTTTTGGGATCTTTTTTGCCCTTGCACTCCTGTCAAGTCTGTTTACCTTATTCTATTCATTTGATTCATAGAGATTCTATAGAATAGTTTGATTTTTTGCGACAAGTGTTTTTGGTTTGTTGCCAGATTTTTTTCCTTAGCCGTATAACTTATTTGTTGCATACTCGGCGAAAACTTGCCCCCAACGTGTAACATTTGCCCGGACTAAATTGTTGAATGAAGCTCAACCAGACATGCTGTGTTTTCACTTTCCAGGCAATGAAAGAAATCAACTAAATACAGAGGATTAAGTTGTGTGACCAATAATTTGGTAGGACTGATTTGTTGAATGGAGTTCAACCTTGTATGGTTTTCCTGAAGATAACTGGGAGAATGAACCGGGCATGGCTCAGCACGAATAGAATGGTAACCTGGTAAATTGTGCTGCAAATATATCATCTATAACTCAAAGTTCATTTACGCTAATGACAAGCTCCCATATTATTGGTTGTAATGTCAGGGAAGCAAATCATGCAGTGGAATCAAGCGTAGAGATTGCTGCCCCAAAACTTGGCCGGCTGGTTGGTGCGGTAGTTGCGGTCGAGGGCCTTGATCTTCTCCATGTCCTCGACGGAGATGTCGAAGTCGAAGACCGCAAAGTTCTCCTCCAGCCTCTCTACCTTGGAGGTCTTGGGGATGACCACCGTGTTCCTCTGGAGGCCCCACCGGAGGACCAGCTGGGCCGGCGTCTTGCCGTATTTCTCAGCCAGGGACTGCAAGCACCGATACAGCAAACTGAGGTTGAGAAACTATCACAAAACCAGGCTTGCGGAGGTGTTCTTTTTCTAAATGCTGGAATGGAATGTGATGTCACATTGTCACGATTTGTGATACTGACCTTGATGACAGGATCGTCGAGGCATGAGACCGAGCCAAACCATTCGGTATTGGCAGTGGAGCCGCCCAGGGGTGTGTGTGCGGTGACAGAGATTCCATGCTTCTGGCAGAACTTCACAAGAGAGTCGCGCTGGAAGTAAGGGTGTGTCTCGATTTGGTTCACCGCGGGCTTTATCTTAGCGTAGGCCAAGCAGTCTCTGGTGAGGAATATGTCGTAGTTGCTGCATGAGTAATTCAAGGGTTAGATTTGAGACATAGAAATTCTCCTCCAGCATGAGAAGTAGCCATGAAATCTCGAATCGTGACGGAAGTGCGACACAACATAATGGAACTACGGAGATGCAGGGATTTATTACAGCTCAATTCTGGTTAGTCTGAATAAGCACAGCTCAAGTAGTGAAGTTCAAAATTGGAACTTGGGAGTGCTACAACTAGAGCAGTCTAGATTCTGACACTATTGTAGAGATTGTTAACTTGCAGCTAGTTAGAGATCACACAATGTCATAGAGAGCATGAAGAATTATCATTCTAACGGTAATGCACAAGTTTACAGCTCGAATGGTTCAGGGGATGCAGTTACTATTTGTTACTAAGGGTGATGAGTGCAAGCATAACAAGATTCGCTTTGCAAAGTACAAACATTGAAACGCATCCATCCTTGTTCTGTACATTCTGCTACTCATTTGGATAGTGCAGTACTGCTAACTAAAGGGTCTTTGCTTGGATAATATGCAAGGTATAACTCAAATGGAAGCTATCTAAATCTTTAAATATGTTAGACTGCATAAATTTGAAAGTGACCTAGAGGCAATAGCATACTGTACAATTGTACAATGGAAGCAAGAAGCCAAGAACAACTAAGCACAAATTTACATAGTATACAATCAACAAAGTCAATTTATAACAATTCAGGTTCAGCAGGACTTGAAAGGATTGCAGAATAAGATCTCACACTCTTTATTTAGAAAGAAAAGATGGAGATAAACTCTGGGCAACAAGGCCAGCAACTATTTGCACAGCAACCAGTAAGCCAATAAATGGAAATATCCAGAAGGACTAAATCATTCTAAATACACAGCAGCCAAGAGATATAGATCAAACAAATTATGTACTAATAAATTAATGGAACAAGCTGAACAGTTGTAATTCTAAGTAAACTGAACTGTGGCCATGACTAGGATAAATGGGGACAACATCAACTAACTGACCCAAGTGACGCATCATAATATCTACACAGGTTAAATGAGTCGAGACCAAATGCCTCAATAATTCAAATAGAGTTATAGACCAAGGAAAGACCACATAACCAATGGTTATATGATGTACTTTACCTAATTCCGATGCTACGAACAAGTCCCATGGAAACAAGATCTTCCATTGCATGCCACGTTGTCTCCAATGTGATAGTGGTATCGATATCAAGCACACCATCATCACCAAGAGCACTGCCAGTTGTGCCAACTCCTGTACACAATTAAAATGAAGATACTCAATTATGTTAGATTGAATGGCATAAAGTGTTCTTTATCCATGTTAGGTAGGATAAAGACAAGGATCATACCAGTATGCTTAGTAGCTACAGGGAAGTGAATAAGGTAGAGATCTAGATAATCCAATCGCAGCTTCTTCAGGCTATCCTTGCAGGCTTCGACCACATGACCGTGATCTGAGTTCCACAACTAGAATCACAACAGACATGGAGCTTTGAGTAACACAATATATGTTGGAGAAAGAAGGTTGCAACATCATTTGAGTGCTTTTCTTATGTTGAGAGTGAAATGGGGTGTAAACAAAAATACTTGGTAGCGCAACCCCATAACAACTGTAAATTAGGAAATGCAATAATTGATGAATTAATCTGAAATTCAAGTGCTCATATTTGAATGTCAGTGTCGACAAACAACTGTTGATTCATTGGTGTGTGAAGCCATAAAAAGATAACCATGGTGGAAAAAAGATTGCTACAAGCCAGCCTTGCTGCTTTCTAAGTCTAGGAGATTAGTTTCACAATCTGCCAAGTTAGTCAAAACAATAGATGGTACTTAAGATTCCAGTACACTATACTCGCAATTCAGTGCATAACTACACAGCCTTTCTCCATCTGAGTCACAAGTGCACCTTCAAGCGTTTTCAGCATTTTTTAACCAGTACTAAATAGGTTTGTCATCAGAAAGACCTGATATACCGACAAGGTGTCGCCTAGCGCTATCTGATGAAGCACATTTTCTCCAATTGCTAGATCAACCATATGATTTCACTATGTCTTTGTTTTGAATGCCACATCCAGCCATACACCATCATAGGCGGGTTTAACCATATATGTCTTGAAATTCTATGTTATCGCATACTTCTCTATACAGAACCTCATCTCATCAGCTCATAGGACACAATTGTTAATAGGCTCAGGTCCTAGCACAAAGGGGTAGTAGGCGTGTCGTATCCAACACAAAGAGAACATCGGTATATTCTTATTCCAATACCCTTTTCTGCAACCAAGCATCGAAAAATAATTGATTAATAGTAACCTTGGTTGTGATGAAAAGATCCTCTCTCTTGACAAGCCCAGTTTCGAACGCCTCCGCGAGCGCATCGCCAACTTCAGCCTCGTTTTTGTAGTCAGCTGCAGCACCAGACAGCAATCCCAGACGGTTAGCACATCATCGCAGGCGAAATCTCCCGAAAAACAAACACTGTAAATTAAGATCTAGTACTACTACTGAATAAAAGTAATGCAAAACTTCTTCAGCACTTGCAAATCTACTGCTTGAAGACATCACAAACTCTGACACTTTATCAATGTGGGATTCCCCAGCCACGCACGCAAGCGTCCTAGATGAGACGGTGCGAGATTCATGGGGGTCGGGGATGGATGGCGCAGACAGACGTGAAGAGGGGGGGAGGGAGGGCGTACCGGCGCAGTCGAAGTGGCGGTAGCCGGCGCGGAGGGCGGAGTGGATGAGGCCGCGGACGGCGGCGGAGTCCATCCGCCAGACGCCGAGCCCCACAGCCGGCATCTCGTGGCCGCTGCTCAGCTTCGTCGCCGTCGCCGCCATCCCTCGCCGGTAGGTCGCCGGGGCTCGTCGGAGTCGGGGATGAGATAAGAAGAAGAGCGACGAGGAGGAGGAAACGCAGTACACTACAGTCGACTCAGCACCCCCTTCCCCTACTGCGGCATCTCCAGTCTAGGGGGGGAAGAAAGACTCCGTTGGACTCTGGCGAGTGAAGTGGTGGTGGAAAGATGAACACGTGGGTTTTACGGAGCAGTTTGTCTAATTCACGTGCTCGATGATACTCCGAATTGCTAATAAGAGCATCTCTCCCGCAGATCCGCCTTCCACTAAAACAACAGCCGTTTGTACGGCAAGATAATAACCCATATTGCGCAGAATTACGCATGATTTGTGCTTTTGACATTGCTTCTTTGGATTTGATTGCCGGATTCTCTCAATGATATCAATGTATTGCAGAGATTACATGTTTTTTACTCGGCTTGCTAGTGGAGAATCTCCGGCTTGCAACTACATCATCAATAGACATGACTATACCATGAGTTGTTATCTTGTCTTCAGTATTTATTCTTTATAGTCAACATTTGTGGAGACCATCAGTCGGCCAAAAAGCAAGAAGCACATTTTTTTTGCCAAAGCAAAAGAAGCATGCCACAAGGATATTGAGAGGGCATTTGGTGCGTTGCAAGCTCAGCGTGCCATTCGAGGTCCTGATAAAAAATCTCTCTCAAATATCATGGCTGCATGTGTAATTCTGCACAACATGATTATCGAGGATAAGAGGGATTTAAACTTTCCTATGCCAATGTTGGTAGCCATGTCAAGCCTAACAAAAACCAATATCAGATCAATATATTTCTTTAGATCTACCGACAGATTGAGGATAATGCCACCCACGCCCCAGCTTTGTGATGATCCCATTGAGCACCAGTGGCAACTGTACGGGAGATAAACTTCCATTTTATTTATGTGTGATTTGAACCATTCTATCCATTCCAGACCATTTGTATTGTTTTAATTATTCGGATTTGGACATTTGTTGTAATTGAGATTATTATTGAATTATGCGATGCTAAAACATTAATAGGTTTGATTTATATTGTTGTTGTATTAAGATTGTATTATGCAAAAACATGAATTTGCCTAAAACCCCAAAACTGTTTTTGCGGTACCGCTAGGGCTCTAGTGGGGCAAATCTCGTAAACCCGTTGCAGCTGCATCCGCCATACTACTTCGTTGCCTCGTAGCTTGGTCCGCAACAGCAGCCCACCCTACCGTTACCGCTAGGGCTCTAGTGGGACAAATCTCGTACACCCGTTGCAGTTGCATCCGCCATCCTACTTCGTCGCCTCGTAGCTTGGTCCGCAACAGCAACCCGCCCTACCGTTAACGCTAGGGCTCTAGTGGGATAAATCTCGTAAACCCGTT